TGCCTCAAAATACTTTCATGGATCATTATGGACCTCCAAGAATGCTCATGACAAGTTTCAAGCCTTGGATCACCAAGATTTCTCAGTCAATTGATCAGATGACCTAAAATATGTTGTATTGATGAAAAAGTCAAATGTACACTGAAAAGTCAAACTTTGACTTTTTGATCAAAATCAAGTTTCAAAAATCATATTTCATTAAGACATGTCAAAATATGAAGATTTTTCATCAAGAAATCAAAAAGTCAAAATCATCTTGGAAAACTCAACCTTTTCAAGACTTAGGAATTTTTCTAAGTGTTTTGCACATGTTTATTTCATAACTTCATACCAAATTTTCATCATGATGCAAGATGATTCAAGAAAAACTTCCAAAATGAAAGTTGTAGATCTCAATGAGATCTAAAACATTGTAGGACAGGACTTTTTCTAGAAATGCTTGGATTTTGAGTTATAAATTCATGAAGTCATGGCATTTTTGAATAAACTTTTAGGGAAATTTTGAGCAATTTTGGTCAGGATTTTATCCCAACTTCTTGGTTTTTTTCACATAATTCTAAGATGATTTTGTCAAAATGAATGTTATAGAGGATGTTTCAAGATTTTCAAAACATCCAAGAGCATGAATTTATAATACTTGAGCTAGGAGATTCAAGGGCATGAAGTTGGGCATCCATTCTTGAATTGCAAGTCATTTTAGTGAAGAACACATAACAAAACCCTTATGCTATGCTGCATAATCTTGTGTTGCATGCCTTCTTGCTTGTAAATATCATCATAATTTAATGCTTACACCCACCCTTGAGCTATTACCCTAGTGTTTAAGCTATTGTCCAAAAGATCTTTCCATTTATGGCATAAAGACACAATTGCTATTCTTGAAAAGCAAGCTTTTTGTACAAAACTTGTCTTGAACCCATACCTTGTTTGTTTATGATTTGACTCCACCATAAATCATGGAAATCATCCCCTCTAAATCAGTAACTTTGGTACTTTATCTTAGGACCATGACATAACTTGATATTTGCAATCTAACATAGCTATAACTCCATAGTTTGTAAACCAAATCAGTTTGTTCAAAAACCTCTTGCTTATAAATAGGAGAAGAATTTGCAAGAGAAAGAGGTCAGGAACATAGAGAGAAAAGCCGGAAGTTTTGTTGATAAACCCTTAAAATATCATATTCACAAAAGCCATAACAGTCCACAAAGCTTCCACTTCTTGAGCTTTAAAATCCAAATCCTAGAACTCTACATACCTTGCAAGTTCTGTCCAAACATCAAAGCACCTCACATACATAACCTAGAAGTTGTTCAAAATCAAGAACAAGCTTCTGTAACACCTATGTTTTTTTCAAGTTCAAGAATAGTCAAGGCAGCAACTCAAGCTCAAAACATAAATTCTAACTCCAAGGTAAGTCTTCTTGACTTTAAACTCTTCATTTCAAGCATCATTAGTGATTCATTTTTGAAGATAAAATATAGTAATCATTGCCATTGAAGCTAACCCTTTGTTTGTCTTCCATTCTTTTCATTTATGCGTTGAGAACTAACCCATGTATGCAGAAAACAATGTTGAAGTAAAAAAATTACAGTATGAGTCGACACATACCTATATGAGTCGACAAATCTTAGTGGAAAAACAGGTTATGAGTCGACACAGGGCTTTATGAGTCGACACATACTACTATATAGGCCCAAAACAGAAAGAAAAAAGAGTGTATGAGTCAACACAAAGCACGTATGAGTCGACACATGCAGTGCATGAGTCGACACATACCACTATGTATCGACTCATTCTGAGTTAATTTGGCAATACAGGGGCAAGGGAAGGTTACGTGTCGATGCAAAAGAGCATGTGTCGACACATAATGTTCAAAAATGCTTTTTTCTTTCCTTTTCCTATATTTTTACATGTTTCACATATTTTCTTCATGGGTATTCAATATAGTTGTAATCTGTAAGTTCCTATCCATCCCCATTTGTAAATTGTACCCGCATCCCCCTAAACAATGTAATAGCGTAGGACTTTATTTTCTGCAATTCACCGCTTTCAAATACAAATGCTAGTAACTAGGGTGTGTATGGCAAGATAAAAATCAATCTTAGACAATCCTAATCCAAGACAAAACAATGCATGAAAAATAAACACTTACATACTTGCACCTCTAGGGTTAACTCCACTTGTTGCCTTAAAAAATGGTCATGATATGCATGTGAGACATCTTAGCAAAAACAATCGAAAATACAAGATCATAGTCCCTCGATGGCGCTACGAATGTTGTCTTACAAATGATCTTGGTCCCTTAAGAGAAATGCTAAGCTATCTCACAACATTGCTATTCATGACTATACGATGACCCGCGTTTGTCCCTTTACAACCAAAGATAGGGCTTCTTTACCAATCAATGGTAAGATAGAAATATCAAAGAAAGAGAGAAATGAATGAAAGACTTTTTAGTAGGTAGAACGTTCTTAGTTTCTTGCTCACAATCTATCTTCAAAATAAGACATCTTTCTAAAATACACCAAACACTTTCAAAACATGAAATATTTTCAAAAAAGTCCAACACTTTATATGCATTCTTATAGAGACGAGAATCATTACAAAGTTTTCCTAAACGAAGGCGCTTTTCAAAAATACTTTCAAAAACCTATCACAAACATATTTCAAACAAAACAATTTCAAAAGTGATCTAGCAAGAAACTAAGAATCCATAGATAACTATGGATGAAAAGGGTGCTAACACCTTCCCTTTTCATAACCTACCCCCCGAACTCAAGAAAATATCTCAAAGGTTTTTCCTGTTCTTTTCACCCTTTCCTTATTGGATAAAAGAAAAGTCGGTGACGACTCTTGCTATCCGCAACAATTGCGATAAAATGCAAAACACCCAAGTCAGTTCTCCCACCGTATTACACTTATATTTTTTGTTATTTTTCAAAATAATGTGCAGGTTATATATATATATATATATATATATATATATATATATATATATATATATATATATATATATATATATATATATATATATATATATATATATATATATATATATATATATATATATATATATATATATATATATATATATATATTAATCAATGTCTATTTCTAAAACACCAACAAGTGTTTGGCCTAGTGGCAAGTAGTGCAGTTTGTGAAGCCAGATGGCGTGGGTTCAACTCCCACCCCATATAATTTTTCTATTTTCTTTCTTAATTATTTTTTAATTAACCTAACCTAATTTTTTTTCTTAATAACTAACAAATTAGAATTAGGATTTTAGTTAGTAATTATATTTTTTAAATATTTTTTATTTACTAATTACTTAAATTGGCTTTTTTCTTAACATTAAAATAAATTAGGATTTAGGTTTTAATTACTATTATTAAAACATAATTATTTTCTACAAAAAATCATAAAACATTTTAATATTTTTTTTCTATTTTCTTTCTTCTTGCTATTTAATTTTCATAGAAAATTGTATAGATTGCATTCTTTAATTGCAATAGGTAGATTTTTTTTGTCGCATTTTTTTCTTAATTATGTAACTGCTCACAGGATGTAATAGCATAGGTTTACTTTCTCGCGAATTTTTTATACTTATGTACCTCTCCCAAAGCCATGTAATAGCTTAGGACTTTACATTCCGCACTTTATGTTTTGTACATATTTAACTGCTAGTAACTAGGGTTTGCGTGGAAAGACTAAAAACAATCTAGAAAACCTTAATATTCAAGATAAATAACGGAATCAATACACTTCACACACTCGCACCTCTAGGATATCCTCTCTTGTTGTCTTATGATATTGGTCACGTTCCTCGAAAGTGGGGATACTTTAGCAAAAGACCCTTGATCAAATCATCATGTCCCTTTCGAATAAAGATAATAATCCCTCGATGACTCTTCGAGCTGCCTACAAAATGATCTAGTCCCTTCGAGTTGCCTACAAAATGATAATAATCTCTTCGATATAATTTCTAAAGTATCATTACTTGTTGCCTTCGATGACCATACAATGACCCAACGCACGTCCCTTCACATCCAATAGATAGAGCTACCTGCCAACTAATGGTATGGATAGTATTATCTCTAAAGGAGAAGGAAAAGAATAAGAAAGACTTTAGTGGGTAAGAAACTCTTAATTGTTTGCTCACAACTTTTCTCAAAACTTTTTTTCACACTACACTTTCAAACAAATATTTTCAAAAATAACACTTTGTATACATTCTTGAGAACTGATACAAGAATCATTACAAAGTCAACCTTACATTGGCGATTTCAAAATATTTTCAAATAAATCACACACACAAAGCAATATTTTCAAAAGTGAGCTAAGCGATTAAGAGCTCGTAGGTAACTACAGATGAAAAAGGTGTTAACACCTTGTTTTTTCATAATTTACCCTCCGAACACAAAATCTATCAAATGTCTTTCCTATTCTTTTCACATTTCCTAAATATTGGATAAAAGAAAAGTCGGTAGCGACTCTAACTATTCAAACATTTAGATAAAACCAAAAAATCAGTTCTCCCACCGTATAACACTAGGAAACAATTAAAAAGAAATATTACTATTTGTTTTTTTTATAGCTTAAAAAAACAATTTTACCAAGGCAAAATTTTATCCAACCATCAATATAAATTAAGCACATTAATAAAATGTGTAATTGCCACCAAAATACATTTGGTCATAACACCGTGTAGATCCAAATCCGTTTCTATTTCTTTTGCACCATAGCAAAACCAAGTACCAATTCCTTGTGTAACCAACCACACACAAAAAAGTAAAAAATATATAAAACACAAACATGCACAAGATTTATCAAGTAAATACAAAAACAAAACAAAAGTTTCAAATTTGAGAAACCGCCTACCGGCCACAATATTTTTTAACCAACACGGCAACATTTGCTATAGAAGCAAGCAAGTTGCAGCATTCAACAAATTAAGCACAGGTAATACAAGAATTAATTCCTCTATTATTGAGTATTTATCCCTTATTGCGTACTTTGGATGGTTCCATAGCATGGCATTGTCTGCAAGCAATGAAAAACCACCGGAAAATTCTCCGAACAAACTGTAACGACACCCTTTTCTTCATCTTTTTCTTCTCCTTCCTTTTCGCCTGTTTTTGTTTTCTTCTCTTAGATGCGTCACGGTTCAAACCCGCTGGCACAGGCATTATATACTGCCACCTCTGTGAGCAACCATATGACTGTTGAACTGGACGAGCAAAAGATCTAGAAGAGAGCTTTACCCTATTGTGAAACAGTTTTCGTTCGGAGGTGTCGCTAGAGCTTGTCCTAGCACTGCTGCAACTGCTGTTGGTACTATTGCTTCGGGAGGAAAGCAATGAGTCTTTGCTTCCGATGCTGGTGGTTGTGACATGGTTGAGAGGGAATGAATGTGGTTGGAGGCGGCCATTGAAGAAAAGCTGATCGGCTGGTGATGTTGTGCAGGAGGGTGAATCTGGGGTGAGGGACCCGAATTCGAAGTCGGAATCTTCTTGATTGGGCGTGCTCGGAAACGAGAAGGAGTCGTTGGTGGTTCTGTTTTTTGAAGATGAGTCATCAGTTTGGGATGGTTGTGTATTCAGCTTCATGGAGGTAGTTTATTCTTAATCTTAACAAGTGGGTTATGTGTGTTGGATTTGGAGAGTGTTTACAAGCTCTTTCTTTGTTGGTTTCTTGATGTTATATAATAGGAACTGTGTGGATGCCACCAAAACCAAAGTTTAACAAGTAATTAATACTATATTGCGTATGGTGGTGGTCGTGTAATTATGATGTTTGCGATGTCTAATATAACAATTTGTCACAAATTAATGAGGTATACAATTTACCGACATGAGTATATAGTGAGTATGCTTTGGTGTATTTTGTCCTAAAGACCAATACATGGTGGGTTCACTATCACTAGTGTAGCTTTCCTTTCAAGATGGAATTATTATAGCATAGTCAAAGTCTCCTCTACGGTCTAAATTAAATATATGGAGGAAGAGTGTGACTGCAATGATCAAATTACTTGCTCTTTTACTTATTTATGTAAAGAAGAAACTTGCTTTTGATTTCTCGTAACCAAAAAAGGAGACAAATAAGCTCTTATAAAAATCATTGGTCTCTTATTTAGGGTTATGTGGCGTAACCAATGGCCCATATAAACTCATTATGCCTTTGGTTCCATCGGCCATCAGATTCAGTCTTCAATATATTTTCCCAACCAAAGCAAATTATTCCTCAATCTTCATTAAAAAGCACACTTTCATGTGACGCCAACACAAACTGCCTGGTCAATGAATATCAAGACAAAAGCTGCCAAAGGTTTGATCGTATTAATAAAATGTTTTCAGTGCTACTCATAAATAACACCACCATGCCCCCAAAGAACAATTTCCATAAATGTTAGGTGTTCAAATAATCTCTATTGTGACTCAATCTTGTAGCTGAATGATTTTCTTTCTTAATTATTGAATTCATCTCTATTGTGACTCAATCTTGTAGCTGAATGATTTTCTTTCTTAATTATTGAATTCATTTACAAGAGTCTTGTAGTTTATATAGGAAACATACATCTAGAGAGATAATAGTTAGATGGTTAACGAGATTGCAAAATTTATAAAAGAGGTGGAGGAGAATAATATTTTTTTTAGCGTGATAATAGTTTTTAGGTAAATAAGGGGGGGAACTCTTGCACATTAATTTCAAAATTCTATCAACTGTTCACATTAATAGCAGATCGAGTGTTTACTTTAGTTTTGAAGTAGATATTTATTTTTGATTTTGGTGTTCTCTTGGTGGGTTTTGTTCGGTTGATTGCTGAGATAGCAGTAAGAGCTCTAGCATGATTCCTATGAGGGTAGTTTTTGGACATTCTGTTGGGTTTTTAGAGAATCAATATTTATTAGTCCATACTTGAATTCAAGATAAAATAGAAAGCGGAGGCGTACCTTTAAGATCCATGCAATTTCAATGAGCAGATCACGATCTTGATAGAGCAATGACCTTTCAATTGTAGATTCTTTACTTCCTTAGTTTCTCTTTCAATGAGATAAATAGAATAGATATTCTATGATATTGTCTAGTGTCTATAATTGGGGACCATAATCCCTTATTTATAAGAATCTTATGCCCCTTCACGAAGAGTCATATTTATTCAAGTTTAGAATCTCATGCACTTTCATGAAGGGTCATGTTTATTCAAGTTTTCTTATTCCAATTTTATCCATCACTAAATAGAAATAACACTTTTGGCATATACCCAATATTTTTCATGAAAATTATATCCTTAGCCATAAACTGTATATTAAATAGATCACTTTAATTTAGATAATTAAATAATGGTTCTAACACAATAATTTAATACATGTATGACCCAAAAAATTCTAACACATTTATCTGCAGGTTTTACTTGGTGTTCTTGCTAAACACTAAACGGGTGGCTTCCCCGCTAGTTGAAGGATATCGGGGAGAGCCTCAAGCAAGTGAGGGTGAATTGTTTAGGATATTAAGGGATTTGGAGGTTCACACAAGTATGTGTGAGCTCCAAGCGATGTGTCTTGCTTACCCCTCAGTCGAGATCCCTATATATAGAGGTGCATAGACCTCATTGATCAATGCATATAACTGTTGTGACTCTTCATCATACGTAATTGAGTTGCCATTAAGGAAAGAAACCTCCTTTGTTGCCAATGATGGCTATTATCATAACTTGCGTCGTCATGTATTGATGAGTGGCTACACCTTTAATGGTTCGGTCACTCTATAACAACCTCATCAAGGTCGGGCTCTATGTAACATCTAGATTCAAGGATAATGTCTGGGTATAAGTCTGACTAGTGCCTCTTCATCTTTCTCTCTGGCCGACCACATATGCCATTGGCTTTACAACCCGCCTTAGGCATGAAGATCTCAAATTGAGGTATTACCCGACTAAGCTTTTACATGTCCTCCTTGGTCTTTTGTCCATATCTTGCCTTTTTATCTCTCCTAACTCGGACAATGGATCTATGTATGAACATAAGCCCCACGAGCATATGGCTTTATTTGAAGCCCTATGTTCGGTCAATGTAAATATTGATTTTTGGCTCCGGGTCAAGCTCCTATAACTGGACGGTTGTTGGGTTCATTCCCGGCATGCGTGACGCTCACGCCCTAATTTCCCAATAATCACCTAGTTTTTTAGGTGTAATCATTACTAAGGCAATTTTTGAAACCTACACACGTTTCCTCTTTTTTAGTCATTACTTCCCATAACTTCTCTTTTTTATAAAAACTTTTCCTCTTCTGTTCCCTAAAGACTCTCCTATTTTCCTTTGCAAGTGACCCTCAATTCCTCTCTTCAAATCTTCCAAACGACAAACGCTTCCAGGTATCTTTCTCTTCCCTTCATTTTATTTTTCCTGCATATTTCCTTTTGTTTTAAGAAATGATAGTTGTGATACGGTGGGAGAACTGACTTGAGATTTTGCGTTTGTGTTTGTAAATGTTTCGGTTTAGCAAGAGTCGCCACCGACTTTTTATTTTATCCTAAGGAAAGGTCAAAAAGCACAGGAAAGACCTTTGAGATGTTTTCTTAGGTTCGGGAGTAGATTATGAAAAGGGAAGGTACAAGCACCCTTTTCATCCATGGTTATCCATGGGCTCTTAGTTACTTGTTTAGATCACTTGCTTTTTTTTTCAATTGTTTGAAATGGTGCTTTGTGTGTGGTTTTGAAAGATGTTTTGAAAAGAGGCCATCGTTGTGGAAACCTTTGTAATGATTCTTGTTTGAATGTATACAAAGATATTTTTGTTTTTTGAAAAGATTTCAATGTTTGAAAGTTTGTTTTGGGGAATGTTTTGAAATTGTGTTGTGAAGTGTGTTTGAAAATAGCAAGGATGTTTTGCAAGCTTTTGATCAAGTAACTAAGAGTTATCTACCCTATTTTACTCAAAGATCTTTCCTATATGTTTTTAACCCTTTTGACAGTGTTATTTCACCATTGCATTTTATGAATAACCTTGTGTTAGGATGTTTAACCGGGACAGGCGCGGGTCATCGTATAGACCATGATAGCAATTGTGTTAGGTATTTTTGGCAAATTTTCCAAGGGACTTGATCATTTTTGTTTAGGCAACCAAGATAGCGTCATCGTGGGACTATGATCTTTTGTTTTGTTTTTGTTTTTCCAAAGTACCCAACATGCATAACATGGCCTATTTTTTAGGCAACAAGTGAATTGTAACCCTAAGGGTGCAAGTGTGCATTGTGCTTAATTTTCATGCATTTTGTCTTTGATTAGGTCAAGCTATTTGTTGATTTTGATTTTTTGCATACAAACCCTAATTCTCTAATCATGGCATAATTGAAAGCGTAAAGTGCGAGAATTAAAAGTCTAAGCTATTACAACATGATTATGAGGATGGGGGTACAATTTTTGAATGGGGGGTATTTGACAAGAAATATAAACCCTAATTTACTATTACATCCAAATTGAATTTACAATGCATAAATATTTAAATGGACAATATTTAAATAAACAAAATAAATAAATATGTCAAATAATGCAAAAAAGGTTTTTGTTTATTTATGCATGTAAAAATATTTAATGTAAAAAATAAAGAAATAAATAAAAGATTTATTTTATTTGGTTAAGGGGTAAAACCCTAATTTTCTTTAAGAAAATAATATGTTAATTATTTTACTTATATACAATAAAAATAAAATATTATATGTAAAAAAAAGTAAAAAAAGTATTTATTAAGTATATTCAATAATAAAAATAAAAGTGTAATATTTAATATTTTTATGCTAAAATATCTAATAAAATAAAAGTATATATATATATATATATATATATATATATATATATATATATATATATATATATATATATATATATATATATATATATATATATATATATATATATATATATATATATATATATATGTTAATTATATTAAATATATACAATATAAAATAAAATATGTACAAAATAATGTATATTTAGAAAAATATTTTTAATGTGAATACAAATAAAGAACAAAAATAAAAGTATGATTTATATATATTTTTCAAGTCTTAATAAATAATATAAAAGTATTTAAATGCTTTTTATGTTAGAAAAATTAAAATAAAATGCCAAATAAATATGAAAATATTATGAAAATATTTTTGAGCATTTTTTATATTTGGAAATAAGTAAATAAAATCAGAAATGAAAATAAAAATGCAAAAATATAAAAATACAAGAAATTGGGCTAGGGGGTGCAAAAAGGAAGGGAAGGGGTGTCAAGAGTGAGTCAGGCCAAGCCCAGCCCACCACTTCATCTTCAACCTCCAACTTTTCAAAAAAACACGCGCGTACCTGTACAAACTACTAGATCCTGTATACGAGCTCTATTGCAAAAACACACAACATCAAACTTGTAGAGCATTTCAAGACGATCCAAACCATATAAGCAACTTGTCTTAACTCTCAAAGACCAGAGAGATTTTCTCTGGCCCTAAAATCTGACCTAGTTTTTTCAGCATGTTCATGGATGAAATTCTCTTAGCGCACTTAATATAAATGAAAAATGAGCATATGTACAGCTTCATGGCAATGAATACTACATTTTT